ATGTAAGTCAATGGGAAAAAGTGTTTCCGGGCCCAGCAACCAAAAGGAAGTGTAGTACCGCCGTTTGACCAGCACGAATATTCTCATCAGACTCCGGCGCACTTCCTGGGGGCTTGGTTGGGCCATGTTAACAATACCGTGTAACTGTCACGTTTGAAGGGACGAAATCGTGACAGCTTCACGTCTCCCAGCATGGTAAATCGTCACATGTTCACGTCTTGCCGTGATACCGGGTTGGATTGGTTGTTTGATTCAGACTGATTTGTTGTTATTTTGTAAATAAATACAAAGGGGTTGGCTCTCACAGACACATTTTTTAAATATTATTCAAAACATGGAAAATCTAAATGTGTTTTTTTCAACCAATATCATGATGGAATATTGCATACTTTATCTGTTATAAGGTTAGAGTGATGTATAGCTAAATACAAAAAACTAAAAGGGTTGAAGCACACAAACTCATTTCATTGTTTTATAAGTTAGTTATAGTATCCAGGTATCACTAGCTATTCAAATATCTACACTGTGAATTTGAAAATAATGAAAATTAAATGATCACATTATATCATTAAATTCATAGGTACAAAGTACATTTACTCAGGTACTGTACTTAAGTACAATTTTGAGGTACTTGTACTTTACTTGAGTATTTCCATTTTATGCTACTGTGTACTTCTCCTCCACTACAGTCCAGAGGTACATGGTGTACTTCTACTCCACTACATGTATTTAATCCCTTTAGTTACTTCACAGATGAATGATGTGAAATCTAATCAAGTGTTGAATCAGACTTTAGTTCCACCTGGAGTAAATCCACCAGCTACCCTGCAGTATACAAAGTACTTCAAACTAGCTGCACCTTCACCAGCTTTGAGAACACTTTCATGATCAATCATTATAAAACATATCATATATATTATTCTGAAATGGACCAATCTGCACAACGACTACTTTTACTGTCTTTCACTATATTTAGATGAGAATACTTTTCTACTTTCACTTGAGGAACATTTTGAATGCAGTACTTTTACTGTAACAGAGTATTCCTACACTCTGGTACTTCTACTTTTACTCAAGTACAAGATCTGAGTACTTCTACTTTTACACAAGTACAAGACCTGAGTACTTCTACTGTTACTCAAGTTCATAATCTGAGTACTTCTACTTTTACTCAAGTACAAGATCTGAGTACTTCTACACAAGTACAAGACCTGAGTACTTCTACTGTCACTCAAGTTCATAATCTGAGTACTTCTACTTTTACTCAAGTACAAGATCTGAGTACTTCTACTTTTACACAAGTACAAGATCTGAGTACTTCTACTTTTACTCAAGAACAAGATCTGAGTACTTCTACTTTTACTCAAGATCAAGATCTGAGTACTTCTACTTTTACTCAAGATCAAGACCTGAGTACTTCTTCCACCTCTGAGTAAATGTGAATGATCAGATGTTAACATCTCCTTGTACAGTTGCAAGAAAAAGTATGTGAACCCTTTGGATTCTCCGCACATAGCGTTGTGTGTTCCTTCCAAACAACTCAGCGTTGGTTTCATCTGTCCACAGAATATGTTGCCAGTAGTGCTGTGGAACATCCAGGTGCTCTTTTGCAAACTTCAAACGTGCAGCAATGTTTTTTCTGGACAGCAGTGGCTTCCTCCGTGGTGTCCTCCGTGGTGTCCTCCGTGGTGTCCTCCCATGAACTCCATTCTTGTTCAGTGTTTTACGTATCGTAGATTGGTCAACAGAGATGTTAGCATGTGCCAGAGATTTCTTTAAGTCTCTAGCTGACACTCTAGGATTCTTCTTCACCTCATTGAGCATCCTGCGCTGTGCTCTTGCAGTCATCTTTACAGGACGGCCACTCCTAGGGAGAGTAGCAACAGTGCTGAACTTTCTCCATGTATAGACAATGTGTCTGGACTGATGAACATCAAGGCTTTCAGAGATACTTTTGTAACCCTTTCCAGCTTTATGCAAGTCAACAATTCTTAATCGTAGGTCTTCTGAGAGCTCTTTTGTGCGAGGCATGGTTCACATCTGGCAATGCTTCTTAAGAATAGCAAATTCAAAACTGGTGTGTATTTTTTATAGAGCAGGGCAGCTTTAACCAACACCTCCAGTCTCGTCTCATTGGTTGGACTCCAGGTTGGCTGACTCCTGACTCCAAGTAGCTCTTGAAGAAGTCTTTAGCTTAGGGGTTCACATACTTTTTCCACCCTGCACTGTGAATGTTTACATGGTGTGCTCAATAAAAACATGAAAACATATCATTGTTTGTGTGGTATTAGTTTAAGCAGACTGTGTTTGTCTATTGTTGTGACTTAGATGAAGATCAGAACACATTTTATGACCAACTTATGCAGAAATCCAGGTAATTCCAACAGGTTCACATCCTTTTTCTTGAAACTGTACATGCGCTAAGACGGTCAAAAACCATATGCCCTTCCGGGGTCAGTCACACCCAATCCGGAGACAACACACACCTTAAATACCTGTGCCTAGGTAATAGGACAACAACACACTAATGGCACGACTTGAACCCAAACATGACTTTATTAAATGGCTCTTACAAAAGGTGATATTATTCTCTCTTCAGGTCCTCCTCAAAAGCCTCTCCCTGCAGATCCCCAGCCTCCTGAAGTCACGTGTCGACCCTCAGCCGGGACCACAGACGCCGGGCAGGCCTCTCGTCTCCTGGCTGAGAGGAGGAGAGAGGCGAGGCAACAACGAGAGAGAGAGGAGCTACAACAACGAGAGAGAGAGGAGCGACAACAACGAGAGAGAGAGGAGCAGGAGCACCTGCAGAGAGAGGAGGCAGAGAGGTGAGGAATATGTCCACTAAAGAGACAGAAACACTGTAGAGTGGGGCAGGCATGACGTATTTTAGTAGGCTGACCCAGAAGTAAGCGTCGCAAGGGCTACCTCTACAAAAAGCAATGAGATTTTTCCATTTAATTTAGGAATGTTTCTTAAAATAAGCATGTTTATGATACTGACATGTTCTGTTCAGCAGGATGATCTCCACATCTTTATGATTTTTGAAGTAAAAGGCTAACGTTAGGCTATAAGCAGGTAATGTCAGTGTATCCAATGTACCAAGATCCTAGGACACTTGCAGTCTGCCGGGTATTTTGGTTCTGACTCCATAACACTTAGTGAAGACCCCCAGGGACATGTCCAACTTGAACAAGGGTTTATTGAGAGTAAATGACAGCGTCACGGCAGATTCATTCCATCCAAATTGCATCTCAACCGGTCCGCTAACGACTTGATTCAAACAGTTGTCCATTTGTTTCAACACCATCATTAATTAGAGGATTAGGGCAACATGTGATTTCATTTTTATAAGACTTTAATCGCAGAACTAATACAAAAAGTTCACTATTGGTCAGATCGTACCAACATATTCACACGTGACCCTTATGCTCTTCCGTAGTTAACAACTCTTGTCAAAGGAACGAGTACGTTTTAACCTCAAAGAGACACAAAGTCTAAGGAGAGAAATTGCTAAACTACTAAAATAGGGACAAAACAAGACACAAAATATCAGTACGTTTTCTTCCAAGTTATTATTAATGCGAAATGTTATCTTACCAAGTCTTCGTCACACAACACCTGACAGTGTTCAAAGTAATAAAGCTCCATGGTGTGTGGACAGCCTCTCCTTTCCCTGCATGTCCCCCTAATGGAAAGTCTCAACATGGATCATACATGTTCTTATCTCTTAAGCTGCTCTGAAACTTTGAAAATAATGTTTCTGTGTGTGTCCCTGCAGAGGTCATCTGAGCAGCTGCACAGACGTTCACACACTTGATTGGAGAGCTGTGTTTTCTCCGTGAGTTCCTGCAGCTCAGCCATGTTTCTGCACACTGAAATGTAAGCGTGAGCATGCACGATTCCAGCCTCGCCTCTCACTGAGACGTCAGCTTCACTTTTTCTCTGTGTGTGTAACCAGTGGCACAAATACTGGGCAAGTTCTTTACTGCTTCCTTTCAGTGCAGAACATATACAGTAATAACCATGTAGACAGTGGAGACGATGGAGAGTGTGAAGTAATAGGAATAGCTCTTCTTACAATCATGTTAGCCATATGCTTTTTGCTTATTCCTGATGTGTCCAAGTACTTTTCCTTCCTTAGTTTTTCCACTTTTAGATTAGTGCTATGAAGTTAGCACACAAGAGTTAAATTGTACCCGTGTAAATTCCTCTCCTACCTGTTGATTTTGTGACGTATAGCAATCACATATCTCAAAGCTGCTAAGGAACTTAGTTTCCAAAGACTTCAGTTTTAGTGAGTGTTGTTTTTAGAGAACTCGATGCACGGAGCCTTTATTGCACTAACAGTCTTCTCTGTTTGATATCGCGCGCATTCGCTTTACAAAGCAACGTTAGGAGGCGTAGAAGTTTAAGAGAGTTTATTATAAGAAAAGCATATATAAAAAACAAATGTATCCAATCCTAAATATCCGATTGCTTGTAACTATCACGTGTTAAGAGTTGATACTATGCCGCTTCTCTTGTTTTTCACTTCATTTGTTGTTGACTGTAAGCATAAAAACTAATAAACACTTTGAAACATGGAGAAAAGCTTCTTCTTCTTCAGTGCTGCTCTCAGTGCTCGTCTCTCAGTGTGTGTGTGTGTGTGTGTGTGTGTGTGTGTGTGTGTGTGTGTGTGTGTGTGTGTGTGTGTGTGTGTGTGTGTGTGTCAGAGGTCGCGTTAACCCAATATTTTCCGTCAATGACGGATTTTTTCTAACAATGACGGAAAAATCTGAAAGCAGTCCGTCATTTTGACGGATTAGAACACAACTCGGAACAGCGCCAAAATGTCCACCAGCGGCCCACATTATATTACATCCTTAGTGGCCAGGTCGACTGAGGGCGATCTACTGTAGTCTGTAACTATTCTTTAGTCATTCTCACCCCTGTCCAGTTGGTGGCGAGTGTGTGTATATTAAGTAGCTATTAGTCTTTTTTGACCTCGCTGTTTAACCGGCTTTAGCAATCGCAAAATGTCACGGCAGCTGATCGTCCGAAGCTTTTTTAATAAGCCCAGTAATGTGATGGTTTGGATAAACGAGGTGAAAAGAGGGATTGATGCGGTGGAGGATGAAGGACAAGCCAGTAAGACTCAAACTGACAGCGTTCAGCCAGCGGCAGAGGGGCAAGCAAGTGGCAAGGAGTTGAAGCGGGAGTACCGGGTTCAGTGGGAGCAAGAGTTTAAGTGGCTGAGGAGGGAAGATGGCAAAATGTTCTGCGACATCTGTAGAGAAGCTAAGATGAGTAACGGATTTGTCCGAGGGTGCACGGCGATGCAGAAATCAGCGTTCAGGCTACAGCAGGTCAATTGAGTTGTTCTTGTAAATGTTTTGTTCATATTCTGATTGTAATTGTCTCATTTCAAACGATGGCATTGTTCGTATTTGCCTGTTTAGGCACAATGGTGGCGGTGTTTTTAGCGGCCTCTGCCCCCTCTGCTGTCTGTCAGTGCAGGAACAAATAAATCATTCATGTTCGTGTTGACATGAAAAGTGACCACACGGTCGGTGTCTCTGTTCATCTTTTGTTTCTCCATGCCCTTAGAAGTTCTGTATGAATCATTAAAACATGAATGAATGAGCATTTGCTGCTCAGTACCCAAACATATTAAATATGTCTCATCTCATCATTAAAACATGAAAAATAAAATGACGGGTAATAATGGCTTATGACGGAAATGTTACGATCCTGTCCGTCAAAATGACGGACAACGAAAAAGTCTAACGCAACCACTGGTGTGGAGGCTGTAAAGGGTGAACAGGAGATGGAGCGAGAGGCTGGATCGTCTGCAGCAGCCGTCTGGTTTCCTCCGTCTGATCATGAACCGTCCGGAGCTGATCCTCCACCTCGCCGCCAGACAACAGAGAGGAGAAGTCTCCATCTGCAGGGAAACACAAGACTCAAACCTCCTGGATCTCAAGGCCTGGTAGTGATTCATTTGTTAAGATATCTACTATGATAAGATGGTGTGAATGGCTGCAGTACTTTGAGCTGCTTTTGGTGGATCTTGTCCCCACTACGGTTTAAAATGGATCAAGAAATGTTCACTAAATAATGAGGACGCTTTTAGAAAGGTTGTTTCGCACAGCAGACAATTTAAAAATGTAGGAGAAACACATTTACTTCGTCTAAAAAAGTAACAGAGAAAAGGGGAAAACCCTAGCCTACTGATTATTAAAGGTCCCATGTCGTGCTTTTCTGGTTAGTACCCGTCCTCTTGTGTTATGAAGGTTTTTCTGCATGTAACGCTCTGCAGAGTCACAAACCCCAAAGTACACCCTGTAGCGAGTAAAACTCTAACACAGAGAAGACCTGTCTGTGCTGCCCCAGAACGCCTCGCTGGAGATTTCTCTTTTTCCATTTGTTTCTTCCGGGAACCAAGTGACGTAACGACCCCTCCGTGGATTGGTCCAACTGGACCAATCCGCGGACTTCCTCACACACACCCTCAATCTTTTCTCAGCTGCAGCTCCGCCGATTTCTCCTCCCTGAGACGGCGGGACGCGGCGAGGGCTGTGAGTCGGTGTAGGGTTAGGGTAATGTTGTGAATCGAGTGGCCTGTGCTCGTCGTCCATAACATACGCCTGCCCATACCATAACCCCACCACCACCACGGGCCACTCGATTCACAACATTACCCTAACCCTACCCCTCACACCAGATACTGACTGGTTTTCGGACCCCCCCAGACCCCCCCAATAAAGCAAAAGTGCACGTTTCAGAGTGGCCTTTTATGTGGCCAGCCTAAGGCACACCTGTGCAATAATCATGCTGTCTAATCAGCATCTTGATATGCCACACCTGTGAGGTGGGATGGATTATCTCGGCAAAGGAGAAGTGCTCACTATCACAGATTCTTTCAGATTTGAGAACAATATTAGAGAGAAATGGTTATTTTGTGTTTATAGAACATGTTTTAGATCTTTGAGTTCATCTCATGAGAAATGGGAGCAAAAACAAAAGTGTTGCGTTTATATTTTTGTTCAGTGTACTTTACAGAGACGCTGGATGAGAAACAATGTGAGTTTAAATCTATTCTAGTAGACCTCAACAATGGAATTATGATCAGTAGAAATGGCCATGACCTGGGAGCTTTAACGGTTTACCAAAAAGGCCAAAACAAGACCGAAGTAGGAAAAGGGAATACAATAACAAAGAGAGATGCAAAATGTCTGCCAAAGCGTAAAGCAACCAAAAAGAGACCGGATATAACATAAAGACACAAAGTCTAATAGGAGATGCAAAATGACCAAAAAGAAATGCAAAACGACTAAAAAGGGAGAAAACAATGAAAGAGAAATTGACCAGAAAAGGATGCAGAGTGTCTACAGTGCAAACCATCCAGAAGGAGCCAGGATTAGAACACAGTAAAACACATGAGTCCAAAAGAGTCCAAAAGAACTTCAACACAAAGTGACGCCCGAGGGTTAGAACGAATACAAACCTGTCTTGAGGTTGGATATCGTCACTAAGCCAAGCTGCTGGAACTTTAAATCTTTATTTTGGAGAAGCACCGACAGGTACTCCAACATGGCGACGTAGTGAGGCTTCAGCAGCTGGAGCGTCTCTCCTGGATGAAGAGTATGAAGACACCGTTTCATAAACCAATCTGTTTACTTCTATCAGGTCGTCATACTTTCACAGAACATTACCTGTCATTTCCAGTCTGCCGATGACGGCCGCACTGTTGTACGATAACTGAGGGTTTTGTGATCGTCCCGATAACTTCACAAGTCTGGAAACGTGCTCTGATGTTATCATGACCGACAACTCAGACTGAAGTGGATCTGAAGAAGAAAGTGAAGGATTATGGCTGATTACAAAACAGATAAAGGATGTCTTTGGGTTTGATCCCACATAGAAAGAGCTAAACAGACCAATACTAGTTTGAGTCCAGGTCCCTCACGTTGTGTCATGAGGTTTTTGCAAGCATGACGTCAGATGTATTAAAGTGTCATCAGTCAGAGACGGAGACAGAAGAGCGCCGAGGAGTCCTGACAAACAGCGAGCCTCCATCACAGCCTGGATAACAAAGACGGATTATACTCAGGCGCGTTGTGTCTTTTTACTGCAGGCGTTAAATCAGGAGTTTTACCTGCTGACCCTCGCTGCAGCTGCTCAGGTCAGTGATGATCCTGCAGCTGTGTGTGATGATGACGGAGCTGCATGTGGGATGAAGAAGCAGCTGACCCACTTCCTCCAGCAGACCCTCGCTCACCAGGACGGCCTGCAAACAAACCAGGGAGATATTATCAAACCTGGGATCAAAACAGAGCAGCAAATGGTTTTGATTGGACATCGACTGATTACTAGTTCAAGGTCATGAAAAAGGAAGGAATGTCCGGCAAAGAAATATCCTTGTTCTTTGGAATGACCTCTGCTTGAAGCTATTGCTCACATTTCTTGTTGGTAAGTCACTAAGGGACACAAGTCATTAGGAAAACCACATGTCTGGATGCAGAACAGACACTCCGACTACAGCGACTGAAACAAGGCACCAGACAACACAAATGATAGGAAACACAAATGTCTACAAAAAGATTCAGAATGGCCGAAAAAATATGCAAAAACTAGATCAAAGAACAAACGATAGAGAATATGATTCTAAGAGGACGATGTTCTACAAAGATATGCAACATTTAAAAAGTCCAAGAGAAACAAAACGACTGCAAAGAGATGCAGAACCACCGAAATGAGACAACGAGAAGTCACAAAGAGGCGACACATGTCTACTAACACAACCAAAAAAGACGAAGTCTAAAAAGAGACAGAATGACCAAAAAGAGAGAAACAACAGAAAAGACAGAATATGACAAACAAGAGACACTAAACCGCCACAAGGGGTCGCCAAACATCGACAAAGACATCGTATAAACGTGTTGAATCTGTGGCTCTTGTTAGGTAGGAGGCGTTCACGTCTGAAGCCCATCGTGTGGTTATTAACCCATGTGTAGAGGCCAAGCCACGCTTTCAGCCTCTGAGGATCCGCTATGTTGCGCAATTGACACAAAGTTTCCAGTTCGATACAGTCGTTGCATTTCCTTTCACTGCTTTCCATTTCACTTGCTTCGTTCTCTCATTCACCAGACACGATATTACGGTTCACACAATACCTTTTCCATGTTTGTAATCCCGTGTGTGTGTGTGTTCTCCGTTGTGTGTGTGTGTGTTCTCCTGTGTGTGGTGTGTGTGTGTTTCTGTGTGTGTGTGTTCTCCGTGTGTGTGTGTGTGTGTGTGTGTGTGTGTTCTCCTGTGTGTGTTCTCCGTTGTGGTGTGTGTTTGTTTCTCCGTGTGTGTGTGTTCTCGTGTGTGTGTTCTCCGTGTGTGTGTTCCGTTGTGTGTGTGTGTGTGTGTTCTCCGTGTGTGTGTGTGTGTGTTTCTCCGTGTGTGTGTGTGTGTGTGTGTTCTCTGTGTGTGTGTGTTGTGTGTGTGTTCTCCGTGTGTGTGTTCTCCGTGTGTGTGTGTGTGTGTGTGTGTTCTTGTGTGTGTGTGTGTGTGTGTGTGTTCTCCGTGTGTGTGTTCTCCGTGTGTGTGTGTGTGTGTGTGTTCTCTGTGTGTGTGTGTGTGTGTGTGTGTGTTCTCCGTGTGTGTGTGTGTGTGTTCTCCGTGTGTGTGAAGTCAGCGCAGAGAGCAGTGTGACGGCCGACTCTCTCCACTCAGCAGAGGATGTCTTCAGCAGGGACTGCAGAGGCAACACACAGTCCAGCTCCATCAGCTGCTCCTGGATCAGATCTACACACAACAACACACAGTCCAGCTCCATCAGCTGCTCCTGGATCAGATCTACACACAACAACACACAGTCCAGCTCCATCAGCTGCTCCTGGATCAGATCTACACCCAACAACACACAGTCCAGCTCCATCAGCTGCTCCTGGATCAGATCTACACCCAACAACACACAGTCCAGCTCCATCAGCTGCTCCTGGATCAGATCTACATCCAACAACACACAGTCCAGCTCCATCAGCTGCTCCTGGATCAGATCTACACCCAACAACACACAGTCCAGCTCCATCAGCTGCTCCTGGATCAGATCTACACACAACAACACACAGTCTGGATCCATCAGCTGCTCCTGGATCAGATCTACACACAACAACACACAGTCCAGCTCCATCAGCTGCTCCTGGATCAGATCTACACACAACAACACAAAGTCCAGCTCCATCAGCTGCTCCTGGATCAGATCTACACACAACAACACAAAGTCCAGCTCCATCAGCTGCTCCTGGATCAGATCTACGCACAACAACACACAGTCTGGATCCATCAGCTGCTCCTGGATCAGATCTACACACAACAACACACTCTGGATCCATCAGCTGCTCCTGGATCAGATCTACACACAACAACACACAGTCCAGCTCCATCTGCTCCTGGATCAGATCTACACACAACAACACACAGTCTGGATCCATCAGCTGCTCCTGGATCAGATCTACACACAACAACACACAGTCTGGATCCATCAGCTGCCCTGGATCAGATCTACGCACAACACCAGTCCGGCTCCATCAGCTGCTCCTGGATCAGATCTACACACAACAACACACAGTCCAGCTCCATCACATAGCCATCAAGCGAGCCTCCAAATGGGCGCCACATCACGGCTACGGCGTGCGGTGAAGACTCACAATTGGCTCAGATGTCTGGAGGGCTGCCTCGTTATCAGAGAGGAGTTGAGGGCTCTAACATTAACGGCCATCTGAAGTTTGGTGGTGTTTGGACCATTTACCATTGAGTTACGTCGACATCGTGCTTCATGGCGAGTTCGTCTTTCCGTGGCAATATGATGAGATGATCAGATTTGACGTAGAGCTGTTCAGGGCCGGAGCGTTAACTATCATGTGACGTTTGGACTATGTACTTTTCACTTGTGACAACATCGGGTTTATTGTTGTTTATTGTTTTGTTTAGTTTGTACTGTTTTCTGTTTTTATAATGATTATTGCGAGTTTGTGTTTCCATGGCAACACCATAAGTCTAAACCAAACTATTTCAGTGACATCACTTATGACACACTGAAGCGATGACATCATTGGCTTTGATGAATGTTCCGTCACAGAAGATCAAAGAGATCTGTGATGTCATGATGTCACAGAAGATCAAGGTGATATGTCACAGAGATCAAAGAGATCTGTGATGTGTCATGATGATGTCACAGAAGATCAAAGAGATCTGTGATGTCATGATGACTGTCACAGGAGTCTGAAGGAAGACTGCAAGGGCTGTGATGTGCATTCACTCCACACTCTCTCCCTCCAGAGCTGTAAGTGGTGACACGCATTCAGACCACCTTCGCAGACTTCTACACAGAACACTTCTTCCAAAGAGAAATATATTATTCTACCTACGCACAACACAAGTCTACAGACGGTGCCATGGATAGAAGAAGCACCAGAACAACAGGGGAAAACCCCAGGCCATTCGACCCATGGAGCTGAAGCGGATCGAGCTTACAGGCAGGTCCACTGCAGGAACGGCCAGATAAACGGCCCTGGAGGAGTATCGTGGGCATTCAGGACGGAGAGGACGACATTTTTGCCACAGTATGCGCAAACAAAAAGACAAGGTCAAACGTCTCGAGGAGCTCCTGAGCTACAGGGACTCAGGGCTCCACAAAGAGAACAAAAGGCTGGTTGACACCATCATGGAGCATGAGGCAGAAATCTCACGTCTGAATGGGAATATTGAAAATGCAGAATGCCAACACAAGAGGCAGCTGGACCAAATTGTGGCAAGGCATGAGGCAGAGAAAGGAAATGTCTCGGACGAGAAGGACCAGGCGACATCTGACAGCGAGAACAATGATGTTCCCCTGCAGTGTGACCCAGAGATCATCAAACTGAGGATGAGGAAAGGGGAGACCATGAAAGAGCTGATAAGAAAAGGGGAAGAACTCCTTGAGTGTGTGACCATCTTGGAGGATAGAAACAGCGGTCTGGAGGAGAAGATGGAAGCTGCAGAGCTTCAACACAAAGAGCAGCTGGAAGACACAGTGGCATGGTATGAGACACAGAAACAGAAGCTCTCAGACCAACACAACGAGGCCAACCTGGTGACTTTAAACCTGCTGCAGAGAAGAGAGGAACAACTCCTTCAATGCGAGGAAAATGTCACCAAGAGCCTGGCCGAAAAGGACTCTCACCTGGGAGAGTGAGAAGCAAGAGATGGTGATGAAGTTGAAAGAGGTGGAGAAGAAGAAAAATTACCAGGCCAGTAGAAACAAGACCTTGGAGACGGAATTCCTACAGATGGAGGCCCAGTTGAAAATGCAAGAGGAAGAGTTCTCTAAAGACCTGGCCGATAAGAGTCACACCTGGGAGACTGAGAAGCAACAGATGGAGACAACACTAAATGAGGTGACTCAGGAAAAGAACGACATGGCCAAGGTAACCCTGACCTTGGAGACTGAGTTCAAACAGGTGGAGGCTAAATTAAAGCAGGTGGAAAAGGAGAAAGATCGCCTGGCCGAGAATAACCTGGGCTGGGAGACGGACGTCAAACAGCTGAAAGAACAGATGAGAGAGCAGGAGGAGAAGTTCTCCAAAGACCTGGCTGAAAAACAGCTGAACTGGGAGCAGTTTGTCCAACGCAAGGAGACGGATGTCAAGCAGTTGGAAAACCAATTGGAAGAGCAGAAGAAGAAGCTCTCCAAAGACCTGGCCCAGAACCAGGAGAGCTGGGATACCAAGGTTCATTTGGTGGAGACCAAATTAAAGGAGGTAACTCAGAAGAAGGACAACCTGGCCCAGAAAACACCAGAGCATGGAGACCAAGCTTCATCTGACGGAGACACAACTGAAACAGGTGGAGGAGCAGAGGGACGACCTGGCTCTGAGAAGACTGAGCTGGGCAACGACTGAGAAAAAGATGGAGGAGGAAAAGAAACTTCTGGAAGACCTCTGTCTTCACATGAAGAATAAGAGCAGAGGTTTCTTCTCTCACAGAAGGGGGGAGACTGAGGATAGAGACGTTGTCTTGCAGAAAATGATAAGGAAGATGCAAGAGAAGGAGATGAGGAAGAAAACAAAATGTCTGCTTTGCGAAACAAATGTCCTATTTGTTCCGTATGTAGCAGTCCAATAAGGCGGACCATCTTGCGCTTGCAAACACCTCCTCAGAGAAGATGGAGAAGATGGAGGAAGCTTCTGGTGATTCAGCTCCAGCTGGACAACAGTAACTCCCTGCCTCCATTTCCCTCACCCCCTCCCTCCTTCACTTTTTGCTCAGATAGGGTTTTCTCCTGGAGCTCAGGTTTTCCAGAAATCCATATGAATAAGGATTAAAAAAAACACATCAACAATAAGTCCCTCCTCCATTTCCCTCACCTCCTTCCTCCTACCTCACCCCCTCCCTCCTTCACTTTTTGCTCAGATAGGGTTTTCTCCTGGAGCTCAGGTTTTCCAGAAATCCATATTAATAAGGATTAAAAAAACACATCAACAATAAGTCCTCCTCCATTTCCCTCACCTCACTCCACCCTCCAAAGCGTCTTTGAATTCAAGAAAAGCGCTATATAATGTAATGTATTGTTGGATCTTCCCCCCGCATACAGTGTTCCTGAAGTGCAAGTCGAAACAACATTTCAGAAAACACTACAGCATTTCACATTTTACAGAACGGGTATTCCTTTAAGGAGAACACTTGTTGTTTTGTGATTGGACAGAGCCAGCCAGAGAAGCACTGCTGTGATTGGCTGTTTTTGCTGCCAGTTAAGAAATGACGCTTCGTGATTGGTCAGCACCCGGCCGACAGCACCACGTACTTCCTGTTTGGTACTGGTCAGCTGTTTCTTCACGAATTGTAAACTGAGTTGGAAAGAATGGAAGAAGAGATGAACGAAGGATATACATACGATGTTATCCTCGACATGCTGTCAACCCATCACGACATCTACATGTCCCTTAGAACCAGGGTGTAGTGCTTGTGACTACCCCATTTGCATCTTTGCCCGATTTGCATTGCGCAAGCGCGAGATGGTCCGCCATATTGGACAGCTACATACGGCAACCCAAATAGGACACTTGACAGTGGCGTTTGGCAAAGCAGAAAAAGATTACTAAAAAAACCTGACAACATTAATCTCAATGATATATATATAATTCCAAAGCTGGTAAAGACTTTTAAAATTTAGCAATAATTGTAATATAGGAAAACTACTGATCTAACAGAGATGTGTTCTTGAATCAACTTTTTTTTTTTTTAAATGGAAAATCTTTTATGTAATTGTATTTAATTTGAAATAAAATGTTAACATTCATAGTTAATGTAATTACATATAAATTATTAATGCCAAACATTTTTGCATACATTCACAGTAAATATTTCTTCAGTATGATAACTGTCTAACAGAAGATAAATCAATTTCTCACTTATTCTAGAATGTAATCAACCCAATAAAAGTATTTGTTAAATAATAGTGAAGTCACGTTGTAATAACAATAACTCCTCTCTCGTTCAGATTAATGTTGTCGGGTTTTGTTTTTTTAAATGTCTGCTTCGCGAAACAAATGTCCTATTTGGGTTGCCGTATGTAGCTGTCCCAATATGGTGAACCATCTTGCGCTTGCGCAATGCAAATCGGGCAGAGATGCAAATCAGGTAGTCACAGCTGCCGGAGCACCGCTTTTACCGGTTGTTAACATCTGGTTAGCTAGCTATGCTAACGTACATAAGCAGTTGTTTCTACAACAAGGTGGAGGAGAGTCCTCTCCTGTCAGACTGGAAGAGGTCTTATAACTACAGCTCAGTGAGCTAAAGGACTCTCTGAGTGTTTAGATAGATAACTTTAGTCTAAGCTATCTCAGTGGGTCTCAAACGGTTTGGTCACCATTTATGTAAACAAGTATTTCCAAAGCACACCTTTTTATTATCATTATAAAAAATAAGAGAATAAATAGGTATGAAATAATTCCAACTCATTCTATAGGACAGTAAAACTAAAATACAGTTTAAAAAGGGGAGTGATTAGTAAGATATGCTTAAAGAAAAAGTACTTCTGGTTACAGTACTGTTTCACATGGGTGTTGTGAGAGATGTATCCATAGATTTAGTCCCTAACTTTGCTCTCAAAGTGCACCAGATTGAATTTAACTTCAACTTTTAAAAAACCATCTTCCCGGGGGAGCATGCCCCCGGACCCCCCTAGAGGATGTGAGGTCCACCACCCACTAACAAAAGGGTCACATGGACAGGATTCTAAATACATTTGCACACTTTTGATATAGTAACCTATGTCCATATGTTGCTGTTTGTTGTTGGTGCGCTCCTGCAATTATAAAAATAGCACGACACCCCTGCTTAGAACCCTGAAAGCGCGGTTTAAAGAGTTAGGACTGAGGACACCTCACTGACTTTATTATTTGATCCTTTTATGTTTAAAGTGTGCTATATAAATCAAATGTATTATTATTATTATTACTGAGCTGTAGTTATAAGATCCTCTCAGTCTGACAGGAGAGGACTCTCCTCCATCTTGTTGTAGAAACAACTCCTTATGTACGTTGGCATAGCTAGCTAACCAGATGCTAACAACCGGAGCGGCGATCCGGCAGCACTACACCCCTGGTTCTAAGGGACATGTAGATGTCGTGATGGGTTGACAGCATGTCGAGGATAACCATCGTATGTATATCCTTCGTTCATCTCTTCTTCCTTCTTTCCAACTCAGTTTACAATTTGTGAAGAAACAGCTGAACAGTACCAAACAGGAAGTACGTGGTGCTGTCGGCCGGGTGCTGACCAATCACGAAGCATCATTTCTTGACTGGCAGCAAAAACAACCAATCACAGCAGTTCTTCTCTGGCTGGCTCTGTCCAATCACAAACAAGAAGTGTTCTCCTTAAGGAATACCCTTTCCGTAAAATGTGAAATGTTGAAGTGTTTTGTGAAATGTTGTTTTGACTTGCACTTCAGGGCCACCGTACCCCGCTTCCACTTTTGGGTTTTCTCCTGGAGCTCAGGTTCGCCCGCAACTCATTTTCCTGATACAATTAGGATTAGAAAGATTTGATTTAAAAATAAATAAAAATTCAAATCTATTTGTGTATGCGTGTGCCTCACTGTGTAAACATATACAGTATACATGATTTACTGTATCACATTTTGGTTACTAAAGTACTTATTCATTGTATGTTTAATCAACACTTTCATAAATAAAACAACCCATGGTATGAAATATAAAATTGTGTTTTTATATTTGTCTCACTGTACACATTCAATTCCATTATATATGTTTATATTTTTTAAATGTGTTCATACAAGCTGGTCAAATATTCTGGGACTGTAATACTCAGAATGTGTAGGTGAAGAGCGGAACATGTAATTGTATTGACTGAAACATGGTGCCACTCACCTCAATAGAGTCAAATAAAAACTGAAAATGTATATATGCCTTATATGATGTGCTTTTAATTCAACAACACAAACATTTAAAACCTCACTTAAATAGAAATGCGTAATTATTATCTGCAAAACTTTGGTAAAAAATCCTCGCTGTCAGGGTTCACTAACAAATAGTTTATTTATCTTGAGAAGTAGGAAGATTTCTAAACCATTAACGGACACAAGTGAATGAAAACTCACATTTAAAATCACCTAATTATGGTATGGATGGGGTTAGGTTAGGGTTAGTACAAAGTGTACAGTATATCTAAAAGAAGTCACTAAAGCTGTAAGAAAAAACGTAACTGAGTAAAAAGTAAATATTGACCTGTGAGATGAAGTGATTTAGAAAAGTATAAGATGAATAAGATGGAAAAACTTAAGTACTTTTATTTTCTACTTAAGTTGATCACTTAGGGAACACTGGAAAATATGATATTATAATATTATGATAATAGCCAAGGCTCTAGATTACAAAGTGTTTATAATACAGTACATTATTGTATGCTGTCACGGCTGTGGGATTACATACGGTGGGTTTTAAAGGGGACGTTAAGTCTCTGAGTGCCTCTATTATGGCTACACAGTTTATCAAAGACAATTATGACTGTTTCTGATCTCCATAAACTCTTTGGGGGACATGCCATTCATGTACAGAGCTTGGACTTCATCATGATTGACACCAAACGTAAAGACTGTCGACACCATTGGTGTCACAGCAATATCGTGTTTCGGCCCCCTCAGATTTGGAGATGAGCTGTTCGGGGCCGAAGCATGAACCATCATGTGACGTTTGGGCCGTTTGGAGCCTGTCAGCTGGCGCTAGGAGATATCACCTTCCATGGAAAGGGATCACATAAGCCATGAGGCGAGAGTCAAAATGGGCGCCACTAACTTTTCATCTGCCAGGTCTTGAGATGCTACTGTCAAGATTTGAAGACGATTGGATAAAATCCCTAGGAGGAGTTTGTTGTTAAAGTACGGTGCACTTTTCTGTCCCCAGATCAGAACCAAACATGGAGGAGTTCAGTTATTATGCTCCAAATATCTGAAACAAACTCCCCAGAAACCTGCAGGTCCGCTGCAACTCTGAGTACTTTTAAATCAAGATGCAGACTTTTCTTTTTGACGCTGCTTATATTGAACTATTCATATCTACACTGCACTGTAACTTGTATCCATGTATTAATATCTGTGTTATTCTATATTAGCTTGTTTTGTTTTTTTGGAGAGCGCTTTGAATTGCCTTGTGTTGAAAGTGCTTTATAAATAAACTTGCCTTGCTGGAAAAAACCCTCCACACAACAACCACACAGTCCACGCTAAATACACATATTATGGGACATTAAAAAAAGTACTTTAGTTAAAAAGTACTATCTTCAGTGGTAAAAATGTATTTATATTCATTTTCTCACATCTAGTATAGACACTTTTTGAGTTTGCATCTTCATGGTTACATGCACTTATTGTTATTTAAATGGATAAGGCATCAGCAAAGTGTAATGGGAACATATGTACCATTCTGTGAGAGTCTGAAGGCATCTGCACGCCTGCATCGACTTCTAAACAACAACAAAACACCATTTATAAAAATGTTTTGCAGTAGCAGGAATAACAGGCTTATAATATACTGCATATACATATGATAGTATATCATTTACAGATATACATAAGACTTGCCAATTGTAATCAGGAAGGAGGTGTATTTTGCGGTGCTTTACAGTCCGCTCATCGGACTCCATAGTCGGCCTTATTCACAGGCAGCAGCACCCTCCTGTACCGGATGTTCTCATGGCCCTGGTAACCTATAAGGGGGTGTATTTTGCGGTGCTTTACAACGTTACCTTTTGCACGGAGGAGGAGGCGAGCGTCAGCAGGGACTTCAACAGGAAGTGACTCCCGATGCTCAGCAGCTTCCGGTGGAGCTCCCGAGCAGAAGAGATGTTGCAGAGGGCGGAGCAGCTGTAGAACTGGACCTCTGAGTCTGAGCCCTGCAGCAGCAGAACCAGAACCGGGACCCCCCCCGCATCACCCAGCAGCCTCCTGGACCAATCTGGAGGAAGAGAGAGAGAGGAGCAACAACAGAAAAACACATCTGCTTTTGTTAAATCTGTGAGGATTAAAAGGTCACCTATTATGCAAAATCCTCTTCTTCATGTCTCTTCTTCAAACATGTGTCCCTCTTCTTCATGTCTCTTCTACATCAACATGTGTCCCTCTTCATGTCTTCTACATCAACATGTGTCCCCTCTTCTTCATGTCTCTCTACATCAACATGTGTCCCCTCTTCTTCATGTCTCATCTCATCAACATGTGTCCCCTCTTCTTCATGTCTCTTCTACATCAACATGTGTCCCTCTTCTTCATGTCTCTTCATCAACATGTGTCCCCTCTTCTTCATGTCTCTCTACATCAACATGTGTCCCCTCTTCTTCATGTCTCTTCTACATCAACATGTGTCCCCTCTTCTTCATGTCTCTTCTACATCAACATGTGTCCCCTCTTCTTCATGTCTCTTCTACATCAACATGTGTCCCTCTTCTTCATGTCTCTTCTACATCAACATGTGTCCCCTCTTCTTCATGTCTCTCTACATCAACATGTGTCCCCTCTTCTTCATGTCTCTTCTACATCAACATGTGTCCCCTCTTCTTCATGTCTCTCTCATCAACATGTGTCCCCTCTTCTTCATGTCTCTCTACATCAACATGTGTCCCCTCTTCTTCATGTCTCTTCTACATCAACATGTGTCCCCTCTTTCATGTCCTCTACATCAACATGTGTCCCTCTTCTTCATGTCTCTTCTACATCAACATGTGTCCCCTCTTCTTCATGTCTCTTCTACATCAACATGTGTCCCCTCTTCTTCATGTCTCTTCTACATCAACATGTGTCCCCTCTTCTTCATGTCTCTTCTACATCAACATGTGTCCCTCTTCTTCATGTCTCTTCTACATCAACATGTGTCCCCTCTTCTTCATGTCTCTCTACATCAACATGTGTCCCCTCTTCTTCATGTCTCTTCTACATCAACATGTGTCCCCTCTTCTTCATGTCTCTTCTACATCAACATGTGTCCTCTTCTTCATGTCTCTTCTCATCAACATGTGTCCCCTCTTCTTCATGTCTCTTCTACATCAACATGTGTCCCCTCTTCTTCATGTCTCTTCTACATCAACATGTGTCCCTCTTCTTCATGTCTCTTCTACATCAACATGTGTCCCCTCTTCTTCATGTCTCTTCTACATCAACATGTGTCCCCTCTTCTTCATGTCTCTTCTACATCAACATGTGTCTCCTCTTCTTCATGTCTCTTCTACATCAACATGTGTCCCTCTTCTTCATGTCTCTTCTACATCAACATGTGTCCCCTCTTCTTCATGTCTCTTCTCATCAACATGTGTCCCCTCTTCATGTCTCTTCTACATCAACATGTGCCCCTCTTCTTCATGTCTCTTCTACATCAACATGTGTCCCCTCTTCTTCATGTCTCTCTACATCAACATGTGTCCCCTCTTCTTCATGTCTCTTCTACATCAACATGTGTCCCTCTTCTCATGTCTCTTCTACATCAACATGTGTCCCCTCTTCTTCATGTCTCTTCTACATCAACATGTGTCCCCTCTTCTTCATGTCTCTTCTACATCAACATGTGTCCCCTCTTCTTCATGTCTCTTCTACATCAACATGTGTCCCTCTTCTTCATGTCTCTCTACATCAACATGTGCCCTCTTCTTCATGTCTCTTCTACATCAACATGTGTCCCCTCTTCTTCATGTCTCTTCTACATCAACATGTGTCCCCTCTTCTTCATGTCTCTTCTACATCAACATGTGTCCCCTCTTTGTCATGTCTCTTCTACATTAACATGTGTCCCCTCTTCTTCATGTCTCTTCTACATCAACATGTGTCCCCTCTTCTTCATGTCTCTTCTACATCAACATGTGTCCCTCTTCTTCATGTCTCTTCTACATCAACATGTGTCCCCTCTTCTTCATGTCTCTTCTACATCAACATGTGTCCCCTCTTCTTCATGTCTCTTCTACATCAACATGTGTCCCCTCTTCTTCATGTCTCCTCTACATCAACATGTGTCCCTCTTCTTCATGTCTTTCTACATCAACATGTGCCCTCTTCTTCATGTCTCTCTACATCAACATGTGTCCCCTCTTCTTCATGTCTCTTCTACATCAAACATGTGTCCCCTCTTCTTCATGTCTCCTCTACATCAACATGTGTCCCTCTTCTTCATGTCTCTTCTACATCAACATGTGTCCCTCTTCTTCATGTCTCTTCTACATCAACATGTGTCCCCTCTTCTTCATGTCTCTTCTACATCAACATGTGTCCCCTCTTCTTCATGTCTCTTCTACATCAACATGTGTCCCCTCTTCTTCATGTCTCTTCTACATCAACATGTGTCCCCTCTTCTTCATGTCTCTTCTACATCAACATGTGTCCCCTCTTCTTCATGTCTCTTCTACATCAACATGTGTCCCCTCTGTGGAAAGAGACTCTGAAAGTTTCAGGAACAAAGTTTCTCTCTCTTTTTGATCCATTTCTATAAAAACCTGTCTGAAAATGAGCTGATCAGATTTTGGCCACTTTGTGATGTCATAACGATGTTTGGTCTTGTGTAACCATTAGCCAATCACCACCAAGGTAAACCCCCCCCCCCCCCTTTATCACCTGAATCTCCTCTAGAGCTCCATTGAGTTCTTTGTAACCAAATGTCTCTCAGAGGGGCGTGGGGAGGGGCTCCTTATTTTCATCTGAAGTAACAGACAGAGAATCAGCACTTTTGAAACAGGGCTGAAACAGAGGGGATTATGGGTAATGCTACAATGATCTGTTTGGTGTTTCAGCCAATCAGAGACAGGCTCTGTATATATCTGAGACCTATAATATATTGATGAAAAACAGTATAATAGGGGACCTTTAAAGGAAGTGACCCACCTGAGTGTGTGAGGTGCAGCAGAGCCCAGGAGGCCACCTGCTGCTCTCGAGAGTCGTAGGATTTGGCTAAAGCCAGCAGAGGCTTCACTCCCTCCAACATTACAGCCTCTCTGTTCGACTCTGCACCAAAAAACATGTGAAACTTTCAAAAGTCAAAGTGAACTTTATTGTCAATCTTTCAGTTTGTGTGTACAGACAGAGAGATTGAAATACTGCTTCCCACAATAAAGATATCTGTACAAATATGTAACAGCCAGACACCGAGAGAATAATAATTATTAAACCATTTAAAGACCTTAAATCCTTCTGCACCCACCTGAGGAGGCGAGGAGGACGACGCAGGCGCAGGAGTGGCTCTGAGCGCTGGAGTCTCCGGACCGGATCAGATCCAGGAGCGGAACCAGCATCCCCATCTCAACCACAGAGGCTCTGCACACTGACACCAGAGTTAGTGCACGGTTATTATGACCCTATTCATCGGGTCGATTTAAGATGTGATTGTGGAAAACAATTAGATTTAAAACAGCAATATTAAAAACATGATTCCATGAGGGGGACATCTCTAAGATGTTGACCAATAACAACAGAGCCAGCCAGCTAACCAATCAGAGACAGACATGTCACGGTAGAGACACTACATACTGATATACACCTGAACATCAGCAGGAGAGGACTCTTTAAAGTAGAGACACTACATACTGATATACACCTGAACATCAGCAGGAGAGGACTCTTTAAAGTAGAGACACTACATACTGATATACACCTGAACATCAGCAGGAGAGGACTCTTTAAAGTAGAGACACTACATACTGATATACACCTGAACATCAGCAGGAGAGGACTCTTTAAAGTAGAGACACTACATACTGATATACACCTGAACATCAGCAGGAGAGGACTCTTTAAAGTAGAGACACTACATACTGATATACACCTGAACATCAGCAGGAGAGGACTCTTTAAAGTAGAGACACTACATACTGATATACACCTGAACATCAGCAGGAGAGGACTCTTTAAAGTAGAGACACTACATACTGATATACACCTGAACATAGCAGGAGAGGACTCTTTAAAGTAGAGACACTACATACTGATATACACCTGGACATCAGCAGGAGAGGACTCTTTAAAGTAGAGACGCTACTGATATACACCTGAACATCAGCAGGAGAGGACTCTTTAAAGTAGATACACTACATACTGATATACACCTGAACATCAGCAGGAGAGGACTCTTTAAAGTAGAGACACTACATACTGATATACACCTGAACATCAGCAGGAGAGGACTCTTTAAAGTAGAGACACTACATACTGATATACACCTGAACATCAGCAGGAGAGGACTCTTTAAAGTAGAGACACTACATACTGATATACACCTGAACATCAGCAGGAGAGGACTCTTTAAAGTAGAGACACTACATACTGATATACACCTGAACATCAGCAGGAGAGGACTTTAAAGTAGAGACACTACATACTGATATACACCTGAACATCAGCAGGAGAGGACTCTTTAAAGTAGAGACACTACATACTGATATACACCTGAACATCAGCAGGAGAGGACTCTTTAAAGTAGAGACACTACATACTGATATACACCTGAACATCAGCAGGAGAGGACTCTTTAAAGTAGAGACACTACATACTGATATACACCTGAACATCAGCAGGAGAGGACTCTTTAAAGTAGAGACACTACATACTGATATACACCTGAACATCAGCAGGAGAGGACTCTTTAAAGTAGAGACACTACATACTGATATACACCTGAACATCAGCAGGAGAGGACTCTTTAAAGTAGAGACACTACATACTGATATACACCTGAACATCAGCAGGAGAGGACTCTTTAAAGTAGAGACACTACATACTGATACACCTGAACATCAGCAGAGAGGACTCTTTAAAGTAGAGACACTACATACTGATATACACCTGAACATCAGCAGGAGAGGACTCTTTCAAGTAGAGACACTACATACTGATATACACCTGAACATCAGCAGGAGAGGACTCTTTAAAGTAGAGACACTACATATGATATACACCTGAACATCAGCAGGAGAGGACTCTTTAAAGTAGAGACACTACATACTGATATACACCTGAACATCAGCAGGAGAGGACTCTTTAAAGTAGAGACACTACATACTGATATACACCTGAACATCAGCAGGAGAGGACTCTTTAAAGTAGAGACACTACATACTGATATACACCTGAACATCAGCAGGAGAGGACTCTTTAAAGTAGAGACACATACTGATATACACCTGAACATCAGCAGGAGAGGACTCTTTAAAGTAGAGACACTACATACAGATATACACCTGAACATCAGCAGGATGGGACTCTTTAAAGTAGAGACACTACATACTGATATACACCTGAACATCTGCAGGAGAGGACTCTTTAAAGTAGAGATACTACATACTGATATACACCTGAACATCAGCAGGAGAGGACTCTTTAAAGTAGAGACACTACATACTGATATACACCTGAACATCAGCAGGAGAGGACTCTTTAAAGTAGAGACACTACATACTGATATACACCTGAACATCAGCAGGAGAGGACTCTTTAAAGTAGAGACACTACATACTGATATACACCTGAACATCAGCAGGAGAGGACTCTTAAAGTAGAGACACTACACACTGATATACACCTGAACATCAGCAGGAGAGGACTCTTTAAAGTAGAGACACTACATACTGATATACACCTGAACATCAGCAGAGAGGACTCTTTAAAGTAGAGACACTACATACTGATATACACCTGAACATCACAGGAGAGGACTCTTTAAAGTAGAGACACTACATACTGATATACACCTGAACATCAGCAGGAGAGGACTCTTTAAAGTAGAGACACTACATACTGATATACACCTGAACATCAGCAGGAGAGGACTCTTTCAAGTAGAGAGGACTTTTTAAAACACCTTGTGATTTCGTATCTCTCACCGTTGTTCTTCACTAACAGATTGACTAAAGACAGAGAGATGGTCTTCTGAACATCCAGGTCAGATGATAGCAGTAAGTTCATGACCGGCTCCAACAATGCGTCTGGGAGAGGAGAGTTCACTGAAACACACAGAGCAGGAAACACTGGTTATTGTGGGTGAAGAAGCAGCGCTTTGGGATAGTAGTGCTGTGAATAACGGCACTTAAGCCACACATGCAGAGAATTATCTGCCAACCCTAGAAAGAAAATTACAGTTGATCATTTGCATAATAACCGTGCTGTCCGTTAGAGCTTATCTCTACAGACGAGAGCAAACACACGTCTCATTACCTGCTCCACTTATCTGTAAACCATTGCTATAAAGAAGAAGATAGTGAAGCAACATACAAATCTGTTTGGATTCTTTACTCACAGTGATGACTGAGCTGTAGATAAAACATGGCCGCTGTCTTCTGCAGCTCAATGTCCTCTGAAGCTGAGAGTCGGCTCAGAGTCTGAAGACTTTCCTCTTCATGGAGCTGAAGTTCCTCATCTGTAGGAAGAGAGGAGGGACAAGTACTCAGATCTAGTACTTGAGTAAAAGTAGAAGTACTCAGATCTAGTACTTGAGTAAAAGTAGAAGTACTCAGATCTAGTACTTGAGTAAAAGTAGAAGTACTCAGATCTAGTACTTGAGTAAAAGTAGAAGTACTCAGATCTAGTACTTGAGTAAAAGTAGAAGTACTCAGATCTAGTACTTGAGTAAAAGTAGAAGTACTCAGATCTAGTACTTGAGTAAGTAAAAGTAGAAGTACTCAGATCTAGTACTTGAGTAAAAGTAGAAGTACTCAGATCTAGTACTTGAGTAAAAGTAGAAGTACTCAGATCTAGTACTTGAGTAAAAGTAGAAGTACTCAGATCTGGTACTTGAATAAAAGTAGAAGTACTCAGATCTAGTACTTGAGTAAAAGTAGAAGTACTCAGATCTAGTACTTGAGTAAAAGTAGAAGTACTCAGATCTAGTACTTGAGTAAAAGTAGAAGTACTCAGATCTAGTACTTGAGTAAAAGTAGAAGTACTCAGATCTAGTACTTGAGTAAAAGTAGAAGTACTCAGATCTGGTACTTGAATAAAAGTAGAAGTACTCAGATCTAGTACTTGAGTAAAAGTAGAAGTACTCAGATCTGGTACTTGATAAAAGTAGAAGTACTCAGATCTAGTACTTGAGTAAAAGTAGAAGTACTCAGATCTAGTACTTGAGTAAAAGTAGAAGTACTCAGATCTAGTACTTGAGTAAAAGTAGAAGTACTCAGATCTAGTACTTGAGTAAAAGTAGAAGTACTCAGATCTGGTACTTGAATAAAAGTAGAAGTACTCAGATCTAGTACTTGAGTAAAAGTAGAAGTACTCAGATCTGGTACTTGAGTAAAAGTAGAAGAACTCAGATCTTGAGTAAAAGTAGAAGTACTCAGATCTAGTACTTGAGTAAAAGTAGAAGTACTCAGATCTAGTACTTGAGTAAAAGTAGAAGTACTCAGATCTAGTACTTGAGTAAAAGTAGAAGTACTCAGATCTAGTACTTGAGTAAAAGTAGAAGTACTCAGATCTAGTACTTGAGTAAAAGTAGAAGTACTCAGATCTGGTACTTGAATAAAAGTAGAAGTACTCAGATCTAGTACTTGAGTAAAAGTAGAAGTACTCAGATCTGGTACTTGAGTAAAAGTAGAAGTACTCAGATCTTGAGTAAAAGTAGAAGTACTCAGATCTAGTACTTGAGTAAAAGTAGAAGTACTCAGATCTAGTACTTGAGTAAAAGTAGAAGTACTCAGATCTAGTACTTGAGTAAAAGTAGAAGTACTCAGATCTGGTACTTGAGTAAAAGTAGAAGTACTCAGATCTAGTACTTGAGTAAAAGTAGAAGTACTCAGATCTGGTACTTGAGTAAAAGTAGAAGTACTCAGATCTAGTACTTGAGTAAAAGTAGAAGTACTCAGATCTAGTACTTGAGTAAAAGTAGAAGTACTCAGATCTGGTACTTGAGTAAAAGTAGAAGAACTCAGATCTTGTTCTTGAGTAAAAGTAGAAGTACCAGAGTGTACTGTAGGGAATACTCGGTTACAGTAAAAGTCCTGCATTCAAAATGTTCCTCAACCAGAAAAGTATTATCATCAAAATATAGTGAAAGTAGCGACAGTAAAAGTAGTCATTGTGCAGATTGGTCCATTTCAGAATATTAGATATATTATTTGTGTTATAATGATTGATCATTAAAGTGTTATCAAAGCTGGATTTTAGTAATGTTCGATAGTGTTTTCTGACTTTTGTATATTTTTACATCTGTGCATTTCTACATAAATACCCCATAGATATAGATATATTTCTGTATATGTGTGTATTAGTGTGCAATGCCTGTTTCCATGCTATAACAAAGAAAACGTTCCCAAGATTTGGATTTTAAAAAGTATATCTGATCTAATATCAAGTATCTACAGTAAATGCTCTTGGGGACATTGCAGCACTAAAGGCGTGTTTGTCGTCCAGAAACAAAGACAATCCACAAGTGTTCTTACCGTTCAGAGAGAGAGACTCCTCTTCCTCCTCTTCCTCCTCAGGTAACTGCTCTCAGGTGAGACACTGAAGCACGTGCACTCACACAGCTCCCTGAAGATGGGTTTTCTTTTCCGCTCAAACTCTCTGCAGACTTTCCTTCAGATGGAAAGTTGAATTCTTCCAGAAGTCTGGAGCAATCCTCACAGAAACCCGAAGCCATGACCGTTTCTCCTGCAGAGAAGAAAGAAGGCACCTGTGCCGCGTGACGCAGAGCTGCAGGGAGACACGCCACTGTGACGTCAGGTCTCAAAATACATATATGAACAAATGAAAAACCAGATATTAAATATAAATAAAAAGAGTTCGTAGTGATGGGAATTACGGCTTTTTGAAAGGAGCCGGATCTTGGTTTTTTTAAAGGGGGCGGGGTTAATAGGTTTATCTGCGAAATAATCACCAGGATAATGATTGACTGTTTTGCCAGAAATCTAATTTTACTCACAGAACATGTATAACTTGCTTAATCTCTCATCCAGCCAAACTACTACTCAAGCAGCATGCGTTATGCCATCATCTATGGAAAATGTGCATTCAGGAAAGTTCCTTTAAAGCAGTGGCGGTTCTAGACCAATTTGACTGGGGGGGCCAGGCTGGGGCCAGTTATTTTCTGAGGGGGGCCCAATAAATGCAGGACGAAAAAGACAGTATGAAGTAATTGCGCATAAGAAAACAAAACAATACAGTTATTGGTATTTGTTTCATTACACATATTTATTTCAGATATTTATAGTTACAGTTTTTACGCTCTAATGCAGGGGTCTCCAACCTTTTTTAGGATGAGAGCTACTTTCAAAATATAAAACAAGTCGTGAGCTTGTCATCAATTGTCATCATTTATATTCTCTGTAATTTGTCACATGGCTATTTGACAGATGTACGTGAAGAAACAGAAATCAACCTCATAGACACATTTCTGAATTAAACTGTTGCTTATTTAAACACAAGATATCTACAAATACTACACTTACTTGTACAGCTATAATTACCTTTAGGTTCATTAGAAATGTATGTTAGGCCCAGGTCTAGGGGAACCTAGGCGCAGCAATAACATTTTTCTAAAACTTGCCTAACCAAAAGGAATAAAGTACAGGCTTCTCACCTACTCTTATCAGTAAACAAAAAGAACAGGTTCAAACAAAAAGAGGGTTTCTCACTCCTAAACAAAGCGTGTCCTCGAGACAGGTCAAATTAGCTTAGCAATGTACACAAAGGGTTCGGTAAACGGTCACTTTAATAACACAGGCAACAGACCAGCTCTTCTACTGACATAGAGTTGGGAGTAGGAGAGGTCGAGTGAAAGAGAAGTTAGAAGTTAAACTGATAACGTATACTGCTATAACGTGATGTTTGACTCGAAACGAGATCAAAGGAGAACTGACAGCTTTGATTCTTAGTTTGGTTGATGTCATGAAGTTTCAGCACGATATACAGACTTCTTACATTTCTTCAAGAATTCACACAAAACTTAATCAAACATTCTCATTTCATCCATTACAAAGAAAAACAGAAAATAAATTCATCCATTCAAAGATTCTTGGATTAAAAATGTGAACATTCATCGATCATGAAATGAGTCAAATGAAAACTATAAACACACTGTAATAAAGTTTGATGCAAAATAAACTCCAAAGAGATGTAGACGGAGAGTGAAGTCAGAATAAAGTCTGAACCAACACTCCTGAGCATCACAGAGGAATCTCACGTCGACAGATTTTGATATCAGCAGTTTTAGCATCACCAGCTTTTCCAATACTGAAATATGGGAAGAGTTTCTCAGTGAAAGTGTCTCTGAGAGTGCAGATGGGAGTCATGTGTTCAGGGTCGTAGAAGGACACCTCCCCCCTGTCATAGTCCAGCTGGACTCTGATCCTCTGGAGATTCTTCTCCACTCTGACAGTCTCACCATCACCATTAGAGTATCCTCCATCGCCATGTGCTAAACACCAGATTCCATCTTCTGGTGAGACACCTGGTATCTCTCCCTTCCTGTCAGCTGACTCTTTAGTCAAACCTATAATCCACTCAGGATGATCTCCCACCTCCACCTCCCAGCTGTGTTTCCCTGAGCTGAAGCCCTCAGAGCCCAGAACATTATGATACTGAGTGAATCTCTCTGGATTATCAGGAAGCTGCTGATCGTCGTCTCCACGTCTCACACTGGTCAGATCATCAGACAGATAGAGCCAGCTGCTTGCAGTGTTTGGGTCCAGAAGGACAGGACTGAAGTGGACCTGGTCCTTCATCTTCTCCCAGACTCTGAAGGACAGGTTGCCCAGGTGTTTGGCCACATCTGTCAGCGCTCCTGAGAGCAGCTGTGGGTCTGCCAGTGAGCTCTGGACTCTGGCTCTGCTCTGAGTGGCTTTATAACTGCTGAGGAAGGGCACGTTGAGTTTCTGCAGCTCTTCTTCAACAGCAGAGATACTGTGTGACAGAGAGGAGATGTGCTCCTGAATGCTCTTCATCTCTCTGCTGATAGTCTTCCCTTTCTGCTCCTCTTCCTCCCTCAGAGCTGCCAGTCTGGACTCCTCTTCCTCTTTCAGGAACTGATGGAGCTTGATGAACTCTGCTCTGATCTGCCTCTCTGTGGACAGCAGCTGCTTCTCGGACACTTGAATCACTTCCTTGTATGTTGTCTCCACTCCTTTGTATTTGTCCCTCTTGTCCTGCAGAGACTCTAATGGCGCGTTTCCACTGCAGCGGGTAGCCCCGTTTAAGCGTCCTTAACCGTCCTCAAACGGCCAGGCCGGTTTTTGGTGGCGTTTCCATATAGCCTAGTACCGGCCAGCGGGTACTTTTTCCCTCTTTTTCCGGCCTCATAAAATCGTGGTTCCCTCAGACCAGGGCCAGGGCTGAACTAGTGACGTCAACACTCTCGACTGCTGATTGGTCAGAGAGAATCGTCACAAGATTGCGCGAGTTCATCCCTAGCGTTGCATATATATCTAGAAGCAAGCTTGCAGCATATTTATACACAGCATTTTGTAAACAGAGGAGCTACAAAAATGGCTACTTCTAAGAAAAGCACACCGTGGTCGACCGAGGAGGTGACGACGTTCCTTCATCTCATTGGGGATGATCAAATCCAGCGGGAGCTCGACGGAACAACGAGAAATGTAAAAGTGTTCCAGGATGTCTCTGCACAGATGTCCGAACGCGGATTTTCGAGGACTTTCCTGCAGTGTAGGGAAAAACTGAAAAAGATAACAATAACAATAACAACACGAGTGGTGCGGGTCGCAAACAATGGAAGTGGTTCGATTTGTTGGACCAGATCTACGGCCATAGACCGGCCAATGTTGGGAGGGAGGGAGGCCTGGACTCTGCAACGGCTTTACTGGAGTCCCTGCAAGGTACGCTCACTTCTAACAAAGAAGTCTATTTTATCCTTACATTAATGTTCGACAACCCATGCTTTTATCGAGCCTCGAAGAGCTACATAGCTAGCTAATGCTTTTATGGAGCCCCGAAGAGCTACATAGCTAGCTAAAGGCAGATAGCCTTAGCTAGAGCTATTGTTTGCTAACACATATGTGCCATTGTTTACGTTCAGTTTTTCTTTTCTATAGTTGCTGTTGCTATTTAGTATTGTGCTGCAGTAGTTTGTGGAATTAACAAGTCATTTTGCTGTTCTAGATGATTACATTGGGACTAGTGAGGAGGAACATTCCCGAACAACGGGCGATGGCAGTGTTCCGTCCACATCGCTGATCGCCCCGCCTACACTGCGTTGCTAGCCCAGGTCCTAAACTGTAATGGAAATGCGCCACGGCCTGGGCCGGCCAGCGAGGCAGCCCGAGGCCAGAGCGAGGACGCTTAGGGACGCTTAAACGGGGCTACCCCGCTGCAGTGGAAACGCGCCATAAGTCAGATTTCAGCAGGTCCTTCAGCTCACTGACTGCTTGTTCTACAGGAACCACCTCGTGACTCTGGTGGAGAGAAAAGTCACAGACAGGACACACAGCTCTCTCTTCATCCATACAGAACAATCTAGGCTCTTCTTGATGTTTACTACACACCACCTCCACCTTCTTCTCTCCTTTCTCTGTCTCAGATGATCCAGCTTTCTGTCTCTCAGCAAAGGAGTCAGACAGTTCCTTCAGTGCAAAGTTCACCACAGGATCTTTGGAGGACTTTCTTTTACAAATGGGACAGTTTTTGTTCTTACTTTGTTCCCAGAATGTCTGCAGGCAGCTCGAACAGAAGCTGTGGTTACAGCCCAGAGACACAGGATCTCTGAAAGTCTCTGAACACACATGGCAGCTCAGGAAACTTTCAACAAGAGCGATTTTCTCAGCCATTTGGTATTAAAGTTATTTCTAGAGCAGGACTCACCAACTTACAGTCTCTCCACTTCTCCCCAAATATACTCCAAACGTGTCTCCGAGCAGAAATCTCGCACCCTGTAATGGCGTCTCAGCGCTGTTCAACAATGTCTAAATCCACTTTCGTTTTCTCTCACCTCCGTCACAGGGTGAATGATCAACATCAGGAAATGCTGCTATGTCATTTATTCACCAGCAGATGGAGTCAGGATGTCTTTCAGAGGGAAATGTCCTTTGGTATTCAGTTCAGGACGGTGACTTTGTCCAGGTATCTGTTGAAGAAAAACACATACAATTTAACACGTTTAAAAAACAACAACGTAGGATGAAAAGGAAAATGCTCATTTATAAAAGTTTGAAGTGGACAGTTTGTGTTCTTACTTTGTTCTCAGAATGTCTGCAGGCAGCTCGAACAGAAGCTGTGGTTGCAGCTCAGAGACACAAACAAAAACTCACTTCGTTATATCTTCATTCCAATGGAAGGAGAATCTGGCAGTGAGAAAAATATAGCACTTATTGAACATTAGAGCATTTAAACATGTCACAGTAAAAGCACAAAATCCAAATATGAACGTGAAATGAGAGAATATATATGTCCTTTTTAAAAACTACAATAAAGAGTCGAGCTTTTCAACAATTTAAGCTGAAATAATTCTAATAATATGATTAGTAAATTCAAATGGGCCTTGTGCTTTCTCCTTCCTTCACGGCCTACAGTTGTGTGGATTTAGAGGACATCATAATGAAGTCACATGATCTATCTGCTTATCCATCAACTTTCTCACTGAAGGTCAACAAAACAAGATTCTTACCTGCTGTAAAGTTTCTCTTATTCTGCATTAAAAACCGTAAAACTATTTATTAAATACACTTTAAATATACAAGAGTTTATTTACCATCAGTCTTCATATACTACCCAACATGACACATGATGTACAGTGGAGGAAGTACTGCACTTAAGTACACATTTGAAGGATTGAGGTATTTACCTGTTATGTATTGTTTTTTTTACTACAGTGCATCTTATATGACTGCTTTCATTCATTTGAGATGCATATGTCATATTTATGATCAGTGTATAAAATATAAATGTGTATTGATGATTTGAATGTAAACACTTTAGATAGTACTTTTATTTTTTATATTTAAGTTCTATTTCTTGCTTAAACGTCGGCATTTTTACTCTGCACACATGACATTTGTTTGTAACAGTAATTTTTGATTGTGCTGCTTTGTTAATAGTTCTATCGCTCGAAGTGGAGTCGAAAGAGATGAGTTTTCAGTCTGCGCCGGAAGGGTGTAAGCTATCTGCTGTCCTGATGTCAATGGGGAGCTCATTCCACCATTTAGGAGCCAGGATAGAAAACCCACGTTTTTGCTGTAATAAAAATGCAATAACGTGCTTTAACCACTAGGTGTCCCTTTCTATCAGCTGTGCACCGTTATGGTGTAAAATATAGCCTATCTACCAATTGGATCAAATATAAAAGTCAGCCAAATTTGTGTTGATACTGCAAGGAGACGTATTGTGTGAAAAGAAATGTAAGATGTTGTATATATTTATGTTATATTTATGATCCACGTCACATTTTCAGTTTTGACGGCAGTTCTTCCTGTTTGTCTAGAAGTCTTCTCATCAGGGCTCTATAAATACAGAACTACGGCAGATATGTAATATTTAATGCAGCCGAACCGTGTATTACAATGCCGTTATGTGATGACTTTCAAAGAGAAAAGCAAGCACACATTTTTTAAAAATGTTTTCGGATTTCACATTGCATAAACACCATATCCCAGCATGCATTGTGACTCAAACATCCAATCACCGAGCTGAGGATCTTGGTCTACGTCTGTTTCCGGTATTGTTTATGACGGATGTATTTGTTATACACACATTCCTTCACATTTAAATTTAAATTTACATTAAAGTCTTTCGTGAGGCCCTCTACAATGTTTTTAGATATAACTAGGGTTCTCGTTGAAGAGTTTGTAAATGAACATGAACCCAAGCTGTTGCCTGGCAACGCAATCGCACAACGTCACGTCCGTTAATTCCACAACCACACACATAGATTAACATCGATTTAATACATTAATGTAGCCTTTGTTTCTGATAAAAGAGGTGTTGATCAGCTGGGGCAACAAGAAAATCCGCAAAATCGAGTCTAACTATTAAAAAAAAAAAAATTATTATATTAATATTGACAATAACAACCGACCGTCGTGGTAGAGCATAGAAAGGTGTAATCCCGCCCATCTACTTCCGCCCCATGGGACCTTATTTCGGAAAAATTATTTATTGAAGTCAATGGGGAGAGAAAACGTATCTTTCGATCCCGTTTGAATTGTGCAATGAATTACACATATGATGTTTGTCAATCTTTGAAATCATTTCCATGTCAAAAAAGTCAGAGTTTGTCGTAAAGACTATGAAAAATACGCAACTAGAAAGACTACAAATCCCAGAGTCCCGTAAGTGATGTCATAATTGTTTTCCTCCACTAAATATAAGAGATATAAGATCACTTTAACAATATGCCTGTGTGCTTTGTACCAGGCTGTAATCATACCAACAATGGGTCTTACTCGTTCTTTCGCTTCCCGTCTGATGAAAGGACCAGGAGTGGCTGGCTGGATCAAGTTAGCTACCTAGCTAGTAGCAAGCACGTTAGTTAGCATTACAGCCGGCTTAGCCTTGTCATTTTTATCAGCCTTAAGCCCGGTACTCCATGGGTCAGAACCAGAAGTGCCGGTACTGCGTACCGGTGAGTACCGGCCCAATTCCAGCACTGCCGTGTTGTGGATCAGAGCGATTGCTCTGCTGTGATTGTTCCGTCAGAAATGCCTGTAGGGGCCCGACAGCCTCCTCCTCAGCCGCGGGAGCAAGACAAGCACAGGTAAGCAAGCGGACCAAGCTGTTTTGATATGATTTAACTGAAGTATGTGGTAGTATTTGAAAGGACTTAACATTTACGTGTTTATAGAAAGTACTATTGATAGGTAATTACCATTGTATTAGCCTATTTAAAGTCGACTCGTTACATTTTGTCATGAAAACTAGCGATAGCTAGCTAGTTTGGATAGCGCTAACGTGGGGGGGGGTTAGGTTGCCATAAGGCTGTTGACGGTCTTATTATAGGCTACATCCATTGGTTGGTTTTGTGGCACATTTGTAACGCTGTGCCAACTTGGGCAAGCATGCAGGCAAACTTGAGCACACACAGGTGGAGAGGTGAGTAAGTTGTGAGCGATTGGAGAAAGGAGGAGAGAGAAAGATTGAGGAGAGAGAGAGAGATGAGAGAGGAGAAGAGGAGAGCATGTGCAGCGGTCTGCTTGCGCACAGAGCAGGAGTTTGTGATGAGAGCCGGCTTTGAGAGTCAATTTCTCTTCAAAATATAATTGATTGCCAGCCTCCCTTGTCCCTGGGCTGGCTTGCTAGCTCGTTGGTAACTGATGTCTTCTAATGGCCTGCATTCTGGCCGCTGAGGTTTTCCATATTCCTTTCAAGTGTATAAGTGTGAACCATTCCTGATATCCCATTGTTGCAGAATAAATATAAATGATAATAGCCCAAACTAACCCTAGCAAGCGTAAACTGACAGGCTGCTGTGCCGCATCTCACTCAAAAACCCACACGACTCAACCCAGCGAAAAACCAGTCTCGCGCGCAGCCTTTCATTCAGAATTTCATTCAGAATTTAATTCTGAATTTCATAGAATATTAAAAAAAATTATATTAAACTAATCTTTCAACATAGTTTAAAACAAAAATAAATATTAGGACAAAGCCCTACAAATAACAACAATAAACATAATCAGTGGCGGCTCCAGAGTGTTTTTGTTGGGTAATAGGGCTAACCATACAGTGGTGGGGCTCAAGTCAGTATTTGCAATGTAATTACATACACGCTCCCCATGACAGTGAAACGCCAAGCGTGAGGTTTAGATTATTTCCCTGTCTCAATCCAAATTGAACTGTATGAAATAAAAAGGCACATTTGTGTTGTAGTAAATAAAAAGGACGACCAGCTGGAGCCAATCTGCAATTTCCCCACAGGTGAAAGAGTTGACATGCTGAAAACCCAACCCCTGCAGGGGGGTCTGGGGGGGGGATTCTCCCCCAGGAAATACTAACATTAAAATACACATTCTGGTACTCTCTTGAGAAGAAAATAAATAAATCTATTACTATCACGACATATTTAAAAAATGAATGCCATTTTTAGTTTTCTGTTACTTTGTTCTGAAAGCTGAACCTGCTTGCTCCTCACAGATGGAGAAGAGCTGTGTGAATGACTTTACATTGTGGATACGGGTGGATAGCCCCCCATTGTTCTGTGTGTCAAAATGAAAGGACAACCCACACACCTATCAATCATCAAACCGTGGGGTCTTATTTCATTACGTGTTGATTTCTATCAACACGTAATGTTGTATCGATGTATATAGAGATCAGCGGACGTTGCCAGTCAGGGGAGGCAGGGGAGGCAGAGCCTCACCTGTTCATACTCCAATGTAACGAAAAACAACTAAAGAAAAACGAAATAGTAATAATAATAAAATGTCCTCCACTGATCTGTGTTGTGATTTCTGTATGATTCCAATCGCTTTTTATAGTGAAAATCAGCAAATTGGCCGAGCTCCGCTACAACTATGGGAGCGAAGAGGAGTGAGGCAGGGACGAGCTCTGGCTCACCTGAGCCCACAGTAAATGGCTGGAGTGCGGGCACTAATGTAGCGCGGGCACTTATTTTGTGAGCGCGCTCAAGCCAGTTACTGTGGGGTCAGGTCACCTCAGAATGCGTCACCCCACAGAAACTGGCTGGAAAGCGGGCCCTAAGCGCATGCCTGCATCTCACTGTATGTCACCAATGTAATGTTTGTAGATCCCTTTATTACATTTATCCTCGCCATCCATAGTCTCTAAATAACTTATTTCACGTATATGATATTTAGGCTCGCTGGTCTCACCGTACAACGGCAATGAAAAAAGCACCTGGAGAGGCAGCCATAACCTCTGCCACACTGAAGGGGGCGCACGTGAGCCCACATGTTCTTGTTGCTACTGTTATTCTACGCAGAGACGGTAACAACAAACTAGACTTTTGTTTTGAAACTAGAGGGAGATAAGGAGGACTTTTACAAAACAGTAATAGAGATTGTTGTCCAGAAGGATATCATGGACTTCATCTTCAAGTCAAGGTAAGACCACAATTGTAAAATGAACATGGGATCTTACTAAGAAAGAACAATCCATATTTGA